AATTTGTGCTGTTTATGGACCCAATACAGTATCGAATGCAACAGCAAAGAGGTGGTTCCAACGATTCCGTTCTGGTAATATGGATGTCGAAGATAAGGCACGCTCTGGTAGGCCAATCGTCGAAAATGTCGATAAAATCATGGAAATCGTCGAGTCGGACCAGCATGTGAGCACTTATTCCATTGCCCAAGAACTGAAGATTAGCCAGAAAACCGTTTGGAACCATTTGCATAAGGCTGGTTTCAAGAAGAAGCTCGATGTATGGGTGCCACACGAATTGACGCAAAAGAACCTTTTGGACCGAATTGATGCCTGCGATTCTTTGCTGAAACGTAACGAANGATGCCTGCGATTCTTTGCTGAAACGTAACGAAATCGACCCATTTTTGAAGCGGATGGTAACTGTTGATGAAAAATGGGTCACATACGAGAACAACAGCCGAAAAAGATCGTGGTCCAATTGCGGTGAACCGGCCCAAACGATCGCCAAGCCCGGATTAATGGCCAAGAAGGTTTTGCTGTATGTTTGGTGGGATTGGAAAGGAATCATCCACTATGAGCTGCTCCCATCAGGCCAAACACTCAATTCAGACCTCTATTGTCAACAACTGACCAGATTGAAGCAGGCGATCGACCAGAAGCGGCCAGAATTGGCCAATAGAAAGAGTGTTGTGTTCCATCAAGACAACGCCAGACCGCACACATCATTAACGACGCGCCAGAAGCTCCGAGAGCTTGGATGAGAGGTTCTATTGCACCCACCGTATAGTCCAGACTTGGCACCAAACGATTATCATCTTTTCAGGCATTTGCAAAATTTTCTTGATGGTACAAAACTGGCCTCAAAAGAGGCTTGTGAAAATGAGCTGGTCAAGTTTTTTACCAATAGGGATAAGGACTTCTTCAATCGCGGAATTATGAAATTGCCTTCAAAATGGACAAAAATTATCGAACAAAACGGCGCATATTTGATCGAAATCGGATAATCCTATGTTAATTTCATTGTCGTAATAAAGCGAAAAAACGCTCAGAACTTTTTACTTCGCCTAATATATATATATATATATATATATGCTTGTTGCTTGGATCAGGTTTAAGTTCAACGTAGAACAAAAAAAGACCCTTTTTAGTGTCTTTCTGTTTTTATGTTTCATATGTTTTTAGCTATGAGTTCTCTCTTGACTAGCTCTCTTGAATGCATTTAAGATCCGTAGAATGATGCATGTTTTTTAGTACGACTCGGAAACTTCTTTCTTGTTTCAACATGTACGTGTGGAATTCCATGTCTTTATCTTTGAGTTCTTTCACAATAATTGAGTATATTTGCGAGGTTTTTGGTTAGATCTCCACCTGCTCGCTATCCAAGGTTTTAATTTCGTACTGATTTTTTGCTATTTGTTCCAATAGCTGAATGAAAGACATT